CCCCCCCCCCCCCCCCCCCCCGCAGAAGGGGGAGCGATCACAGCCCACAACCGGTGAACTCCCCGATTAGGCGGCGCCCGGTTCTCTCCGCGTGCAGCACCATCTCGGTCACTCGCCCCGCCCGGAACCCCCCTTCCAATCTTGCCGCCTCGATCCTCTCTCTGGACGGCGAGCGAAGGTGCGGGGAAGCGTCACGAGGCTGGTCGAAACTCCCTATCGCGCCTTCGGCCCAACGGCTCTCCCCCTCGGGGCTGCGGGAGGCGCACTCGCCTCTCCCGAGCTTCGTCCCTTCTTGGCTTCCTCACGAGCAGGAGGCGTGACTCGCTTCCCAGAGCCCGGGAAGAAGGTGCGGACTCGGCCCTCTTCTGACCACCTTGCAAAGTCTGGATGGAACCGGTCTCCCGTCCGAAGTGAAGGAAGCCGGAGCGCTGGCGGGGAACTCGGAGCTGCTTTTCAGTTAATTCGTAGAAAAGAAAAGCCCCTTCCAGATACTCTGGGGAAAGACGGCGAGCAAAGGATGCCAAGGGAAGCGTCAGCGAGCAAAAGGCAAGGCGTGGCGGAGCCGATGCGGCTCGCCGCATCTGAAAAGGAAACGAGCGCAGCAAATTCCGCGGCTCTCAAGCGACCCTCGCCGCCCTGGGCGTCCTTTGGTGGAAACACCCCGAAGGGTCGCTCTGAAATGAAAATCCCGTGGGTCCCTTGCGCCCGACCAGCCAGCCCCACTGAGCCACTGAGCTGCCCTAACCTTCTGGAGGTTCGTTGGCATAATTCAGAAGAGGGCCCAAAAGGCTAAAAAATATATATTTTAGTTACTGAAAATGGAGGTTTCACCCATCGGAACAGTTGTGAAGAGTCGAATCTTAGACTATGTCTATTCCAACCAATCTATGTCACATTCCAACCAATCTATGTCACATTCAAGGAACAAATGTGACCCGAGTTTTAACTGGGTTGTTTAAGAGAGTCGGCAGCGTTTATGGGATGTAGGTACATTTTTCGTAACTCTGCACATCCTGCCTCAAAAAAAAAAGAGGGGGGGTGATTTTTAAAAACTATATATATATAAAATATAGTGGAATCGAAGGGAGCGTGATCCTCCCGATTTAAGGCCCAGCGATGTCATTGTTGAAAGAAGATTTGGCAGTGGCTAAATTCGGGCTGAATCGAATTCATTCTTTATTAACATCTCTACCTCTTGCGAACCGCTGGAAGAGTCCGGCTCTTAAAGAACAAACAAACAAAAAACCACCCCAAAATCTAGATTTACTTGAAGAAAACATCTTCACGCTTATGATTTTTTAAAAAAATTATCATCTGGTTCAGGTGGATAGGATATCTGCCACCTCCCCTCATCATTTTCCTCCCTCCTCTCCCAATGGGTCTCATTTATAAAGATACGAACCATCTGGGGAAATCATCCTTAACTGTTGGGATTTTTCAGCAGAATTAAAATAATAAAATCAGCAAATTTGTCAGTGGGGAAGCTCCCTGAGGAAACTATAGTTACTATTATTTCACAGAGATATCAAGAAAAACGAAAAAGGCCTTCTTCCACCTAGCTATATATACAGCCCAGAGAGTAAATGTTGTGAATGAATATGGGCAATCTTGAATTATTATCCTTATTATTTTTAGGGGAAAAAAACCCTAAAATTGACTGATTTAAATCTGGGCTGTCAACGTTGATTACCGAAATCCGCCTTTCTGAATTCAGCCCAACTGCAATCCATCCAATTCCGATGTATCTCCAGCCCCACATACTGCTCCTGCCCACCGAAGTGGAAAAGCCGGAACGAAATCGGTTAAACCCCAGGCCAGCGGCTGCAAATCCTGAGTGGACATCAGTCCTCTCGGACGTGCCTAGTCGAAAGATTAAATCCCCGATCCCGACTAAATCCTCTCTCCCTCCCTCCCTTGCTGGGGGGCGGGGGAGGAAGGAAGGGGTCGCAGCAAACAAAAATCCCCGGGGCCCCAATAGACCCTCGAGAGGAGCCCACCTCTTTCGTCATTACGAGCAGATCCCTGTTAGGAGACCGCCTGGCCTTTCGGACCCCGTTCGAAGCCGCGCCGAGTTGGGGCGCCGAACAGAGACTGGCACCTACGACCACCACAACCCCCATCATTCCCGGCCGCTCCAATCCGTGCCCCTCCCGGCCTGAGGATTACATCTCCCATCACGCAGATGAAAGGGGCAGCCTTGCCCACGTGGAAGGCAAACAGTTGGAGGCAGCTCTGGTGGTGGGGGTGGAGTGAGGGGAGCGGGGCGCTCTCCCCCAACCTCCCCCTGCGAACAAGCCGGAAGGAAGCTTTGGGGAATGTGGGTGAGCCAGGAGAGAAGGAAACCAAAGCAGGCAGGAACCAGGGTTTTTAGGCCGCAGCGCCCGGTTGGCCGTGACAAAGGCTGCCGAAGAGACGAACGGATGCACGCGCGCACACAAAAATGCCTCTCTCGCGCGCACACACCGAAACGCGCACGCGGGCTGCCTTGGCACGAAGCGCAAGTTGGGCTGTTTTCCCCGGATTCGGGGATATGAGACCCCCTTGCCCAGCAGCAAGGTGCAGCCCCAGGCAGGAGGCAGCCCCGGCCCCCTTCTGCAGCCTTTCCTAGTCCGGGGTCCCCAAATCCCTTGGGAAGACTACAATTCCCGGCATTCCCACTCCCCCAGCCGAGCCCCGCAGCGCCGGCCCGAGCGGCCGAGAGTCCCCAGAGCCGCGCACGCCATACTCACAGTTGAAGTCGGGCATTTTGGGCAAGATCATCCCGGCGGTGGAGGCCCGCAGCCACTGATCCAGCTGGAAGGTTCCGGCGCCGAGCTTGATGGGGTCGGCCGCCGGGTGCGAGGGCTGCACCTGGGAGTAGGAGTAGGA